ACATCTACACTTTTGAGGGCAATAATATACAATATTTAGACCTACATGGAATTATGACATGTGACATAACTTTATGCAGATATGATGTCATATTAAAGAGATGAGGTCATATCAAGAAAAATTCATTTTTAAGCCAAAAAAGTAGCTCAAAAAATTCAATTCACTCTTTGAAATGAAAGAATAGAATGGAAATACATCGATATCAAATTGTCTTGTATTAATTATCATACAAATTTGCATGCTTTGTTAATAACCTTTTAGATTTATGGCTTTTCACAATGATGTCATCTGAACAAGAATTGTGCAACATAACTGTTTCCTAAGTAATGATCAATACTTTATAATTCATATTTTTTTACATTATTTCTAAAAAAACAAGATGTGAGATATCAATATGATATAGAGGATATTTGTTTGTGTCAGTGTAATATCAAAATATATTTCACTACTTAAATATCTGAGATGCAATATCTTCATGGATGGCATAATCACAAGTGAAAATATAACAACCGGTGTTCATAAGTTAAAAAATAATTTGATCTTACATATGAAACAAACAAATTTTTCTATTTTTTTTCTTGATTTTTTAAATGGTTCAGTTTCACTGAATTTTGACATGTAATCTCAAGCACTCTTCTTCATCCCCTCAACAAACTGTGATTAAGCAATGAGGAGATTGAAAAATAATTTTATATGATTTTCAAAATTTTGTAACACCTATTATTAAAAGTGGGCAAATTTTCTTGAACTTGCATGAATAAAAATCACTGTCAAATCCAGTGCTATTATTATATATAATAAACAGTTATTATGCCCAAAATGACAAACTATTATTTTCTGTAAAGAACACAACCAATAAAAATCTTTACAAAAATATTGCCACATTGAGCTTCCTCTAAGAAAACTGTTTTTTTTTTTTACATTCAAACAAAATCAATGGTTTGAAACACAGTGTGTATCTCTAAATGTTATTGTACAAAATATGAGCCGCGTCACGACAAAACCAACATAATGGGTTTGCGACCAGCATCTGCGCAGTCTGATCAGGATCCATGCTGTTCGCTTACAAACTCTATAACCAGTTGGTAAGCGAACAGCATGGATGCGCAGGCTGGTCTGGATCCATGCTGGTCGCAAACCCATTTTGTTGGTTTTGTCATGACACGGCTCAAATGTCTTAAATCTTGTTTAATATTCAAAATTTTTGAAGTGGCAATAAAAATGAACTCTCTATAAACAACACGTAGGCCTATCTATGTATTTACTTTTCTAAAATGATTAAGTTTAAAGTGTAACAGATAAATATAGATACTGAACACTGATATATTCAAATCTGTTCTCAAATAAGTTTGCACACACAACAAGATTGTGACCATGGGAAAAAAAAAAAATCTCGAAAATACTGCTATATCACATGGAATGCTAACATGAACATTTATATTTTTGTACAAGACCCTTCATGATTTTCTATGGATAAAAATGTACATTAATATACACAATATTTTTTTTTAATAATCTACAGTATTCACAGATACAAACAATATAAAAGGGACGTATATGGGAGAGGACTTGTATATTACACACTTAAGCATTGACATATGATATGACTGGAATCATCCAGGGTCACCTTGCAAATTTAACCCTTATCTCTATGGAATAAAATGTGAATCAGTAAAATTCATTTATTTCAACCCTCAAAAAGTGTAACAAATAAACTTCCAGCATAATGCACCATGAAATGTCCCTAAAGAAATCCTCATTGGGTCAAATTTTATCAAATAAGTCTCGTTTTTATTTCCTGAGTCCAAAAAACCCATTATATCAAATCACTAATTTACTCTATATGGCCCCATTTTCTGAGTCCCCAAAATTCCACATCAAATCTCTACTATACTCTGTCTTGACTATTTTTCATTCTCTACATGTAGTTCAAAAAATCCATATCAAATCATTATTGTACTTGTTTGGCCTCGTTTATTTAATGTCCAAAAAATCAATATCAAATACTTATAGTACTAGATCTAACAATGGTCTGTCAAAAAATTGGTGATGTGGAGGTCATTATACATTGTTGAATACAATATGTCTGATTCTATTAAGCTTGTACACAGCAGCAAAACCTATATTGGACTCGGCTAGCAACTTGTCCAATACAGGTTTGACAGCTGTATAATAGTCAAACAGAATACAGTATTGTACTCAACAATGCATAATAACCTCATAGTATCTAAGGACAACAGAGAAAGCAGGTCACCGTTTCTAAATTCACATATCACGTCACAAAACAAACATGTACTTCCCAAGCTTTCTCAAAGGGAAAATAATTAAGGAAAACAATTATCTATTTTGATCCCCAGTATAAATTAAAAATTAATTGAGCCACGTCATGACAAAACCAACATACTGGGTTTGCGACCAGCATGGATCCAGACCAGCTTGCGCATCCGCACAGTCTGATCAGGATACATGCTGTTCGCTATCGGTTTCTCTACTTATTATAGGGTTTGTATGCGAACAGCATGGATCCTGATCAGACTGCGCGGATGCGCAGGCTGGTCTGGATCCATGCTGGTCGCAAACGCATTATGTTGGTTTTGTCTTGACACGGCTCATTATTGTTTTAAAATGATCCATATAAAGCACACATCTACTAAACCAACACCTGATATGGCTGTGCTAAAATGTGACAAACATGACCTAATGAAATAAAACTTTTTCTAAAACCTTCAAATTTCACGGAGTCAATTATCCATCTTAATTCACAAAATAAATCTGACTTATTAAATAAAATTTAAAGTTCTTTATTTTTAGACAAAATTACAAAAATCATAACCTATTTCATACTTCTTTTTATCATCATCACAAATTTTCTTGTAAGTTTTAATAAATATACATGAAGGTAATATTGAACCAATTCATTAAATTATCCCAGATATCAATTGCATTATAACTTTTTAAATCTTTAAACGTTAGCAACATATAATCTATCTTAAAATACCAACAGTTAAGAGTGAAGAGCGAGACCAGCTTGCATATCTGTTCAGACTGACCTTATTTTATAAAGTCCTTGTACAGGTTACATCACCTTGATAAGTTAATCATGTGACTAAAAATCGGCAGACATTTAAATACTTTCATTAATTATTAGTAGAATCTATCATAGATTCTTTTTACTTTTTTTATTTTTTTACCTTTTTGTACATTACGCACAATAATTTAAAGATAAATGAAAGATTAAACCCAAAGTGATGAAAGTATTCAATCTGAAATAAAAGTGAAAATAAAATATTTGGTTCTGTACCGGTGGAATTTTATTTTTGATAGCAATGGTTTTTGTTTTGATCAGGGGAAGTAAACCCATGCCGGGAGTCTGAATTTTTTATACTTAGTGGTGCTCAATTTTATTATAACTATTTTGATATACCTTAAACTCACAATGGACAAGTCTGAATTCAAAATAGAACAGATCTATTAAAAGATTTTGAAAGAGTTATGGACCCTTACTGAAATTTAATTATTTAATCTGTTTAAGGTAATCCCTTGGTGGAAAAGTAACACAATTTAATGTAAAAAGTATGATTAAAAATTGATTAAAAATGTTTCTACAAAATATGATACAAAACTATAAAATCCTAAAAAATATGTAAATGTAAATGTATAATGCTCGTTGATATGATATGTTTACAAAGGTGAACTGAACACAACAACTTTAAATTTGCATAAAAATCTAAAAATGAACTTCAAAACAAATTAGTTTCTAAAAAAACAAATTGATAGCAAATATGCATCAATATTTCATTGTTTTGAATATGAAATATTGCATTATTGATCGCACAGTCGTTATTTGAATTGATATCATCGGAAAAATACCCTCAAGTGTACTTTCAAAGTTTACGCCTCTTTTATATTCAACTCCTATAGCCCTATACATATCTTTTAATTCTTTAGAAATGTCAAACATGAGTTGTTTTTTTTAACTTTAATAATGTTTAAATAGTGGATTAAGAGCATGAAAGACGTTTAACCACTGAAAAGTAGTACTGAACATGCAGTCATGAGTATATTTTTTGGCAACTGTAACAAGATATCAAAAATAAACAGTTTTTGAGAAAAGAAATGCTAGCATTTCTGAGGCATAATGGGCCTTTAAATGGATATGTGGACAAAACCATTTATCAGTTTAAGTGACAATTTTAAAATATATACTGACTGAATAGCAAACAAACATTGATCAGACGGCACAAATGTCCAGACTGATCTTGATCTGCACTGGTCGCATGGGTAGACTATGTTGCCACCATCATACTAAAAGAAAAATCCTACCATTTGGAATATCTATCTTTTTTTTAAATTATGTATAATTCACTTTAATTGAAACTAAACATAACTTGTTTTGTTAAATTAACCTTGGATCAAACATTCTGTTACATAAGGAAGTATATTCTAGTCATAATTATAGATCAATATTGATGAAAATACTACCTAAATGAATATCATTTTGAACATTATAAATGGACAAACAATGATGATGTGCATTAAAAAGTATTGTATTTCTTAACTTTTCTCAGGAAAATAAATTTAAGAAATAATATATCCCAAACTGTGATTTTATCGCTCAATAACATCACTGTTTGGAGTTCGGATGCGAGGAATTATATCACGAGGGCGTAGCCCGAGTGATATAATGATGCGCATCCGAACGACAAACAGTGATGTTATCCAGCGATAAAATCACCGATTTTGGATATATTATTTCGATTCTAACACGACATAAACAAAAAAATGCTGCCGTACCTGCTATTAAGCAAAATTGCGCCTGATTTGTTTCCGTACTTATTGTCAGCGCGTCGGATTTTATAGTGGTTACGTCACATGTATAATGATTACGTCACATGTCTAAATATAGAGCGTCAAACAGTGACTCTATTGCATAATAACACACACTTTCGGTTCTTCTATGTTCAATAGGGAAAAATGCGGGTCGTGTTAGAATAAATAATAGTCTACAGTCTTTGACTGAAGGTAAAAACATCTATTGAACGGTCTTAAGTTTGTCCAAAAGTTGGTTTCATGTCCTAGGACTTAGGATACACTTAGGACTCAATATGAAATTCAGCCCAGACACTTAATAATTTACATCACAGGTTTTGTATAATTATCTATTTGACAACAGTACAACAATGTAATGCACAGTTTATAAATGAACAAAACCTTATGTTTACTACACATTATCAGCATTGAAAAAGTTTAAAACAAGTAACCTTAGCATTATGCAAACAATTTAACAATAAAATTATATATTGAAATTTTTTCCAGACAAATGTAATGTAAAGAACAACCAACTAAATTTACATCACAACTAATAACGATTGCTAATTTCTAAATATTGTTAGTTTTCCAGTGCGTAACATAACCATAGTTTGGTCCCACATACGAATTTGCTTTCACACATGGCATATTCTCTAATTACACAAAACTATTTTTCCGTATACATATCTGGCGACAAATTCTTCTCGTATTCGTAATCCTTCCCTTGTAAAATCGGAAGATCATCAGCTGAAAATTTTAGTGCTGGGTTAATTTTTCCATTCTTTTCATCCGTCGGAGTGATTGCTGACATTTCACTATGTTCTGTATCACGTAACGCTATATTTTCATCCGGTGTATTAACAACACACATAAATATATCTAATTTCTGGCGCAATATTCCGTGTTCAAATATGTATTTTGTCAGGTATGAGAAAGATATGATCGATGTTAAAGTAACAAGCATTCCCAGTGTTTTGAACGGGAACAGTTGACCCTTCTCTTCATCATAAAACGGGTATTTTATGAGAATAGGTATTCCGAGTGCTTCTTCACCGCCGGCTAGCCGGAAGAATAGACCGAGTATATATCCAGCAAGAGAACCATATGTGTTAGTCCAACGTAAATATATAACACACACAAGCTGCGGAAACAACACAACATACACTAGGTCAGAACACAGGAACCATAGCGTGTAAATAGAATCCACAGTGATGCCCATTACGGTTGCTAGGATACCAACACCAAATATGGACGCTCTCATCACCCAAAGAATCTCATTTTCAGATGCCTGAAATAAAGTAACATCAATATAATATGTAATCTTGACAAAAGGTGCCACAAGTTGAACTATTCTCTATGTTTGATGACTCTCAGCACTAGAAATATTAAACCAATAGCTATTAAAGGGGTTGAATTCTGAAAAAATTAAATCTATTGCAATAAATACCTTATTATGGATTCTCTATCTATAAGATATACAAAAAATCTAAATCTGCATTTTTTGTTTTATATGGTAAGATATATACATGATTGTATCTCCCATTTAATTAGAAACTGTGTGAAAAATAAACAACTGAAACAGATCTTACTTTTTGTCTAAAAATCAGTTTGTACACATTTCTGGCAAACATGGCGCTAGCAGACAATATAGAAGAGTCAGCAGACGACATAACTGCAGCAGACACAGCACCAAGTCCAATAAAAGCTACAGCTTTTGGAGTAAGATATTGCAGAACTAATGGCAAAACCAGATTCAAATCGTCAGAAGGTATCGGAACTACACCAATCTGTGCATACTCGGTTTGATTCCAGTCTGAAAAAAAAAAAATTTGCATGATCATATTATACTTGTATGTGTTTGGATTTTTTTTTACAAATAACAACCTTGATTTTGACAGATTAAAAAGTAAAACAACAAGTGCATGTAGAGGAGGTAACTTAGAAAATGAATATCACAGTTATTAATGATTTTATAGCTTTAGTATTGCATAAGGTGAAAGTCATTTAAAGGTCAAGTTGAGTACAATACATCAATTTCAGCAAAATTTATGGAAATGACCTTAAAGGTCAAGGTCATCTATGAGTCAAGGTCAAATTCCTTACGATATGCTCTGTATGAAATCATTATTCCTGTCCAATCTTATTAAAATTGTGTGACCAGTTTCAGAGAAGAAAAACACACACAGACACCCAAGCAGCTTGACTAATATAGACTGCCTCAAACCAGTACGCCCCACATACAACTGCCAGTATACATGGGTATTATGGTATTTAGGACCTGATATACAGAATAACTAACTTGTTGGAATAAGTCTATCTCATACAGACAGACAGATGGATTGTTTTAGTTACGATTCTTCCCTGAGGGGCATAAAAACAACATTTGAATCATCAACAACAAACCTGTGACAGATGCTATGGCTCCTATAAGAATTGAAGGGATTGCCATTACGATACACCCGAACGCAGCAACGTAAGACAGGATCTGTGCATTACGTACAGTACTTGCTGATAACACTCTCTGGAAATATACCTGAAATACAAAACATATATATCATACGACACAATTGAAAGAATGAAATCAAAATATTGTTTTATAATTTACCTTATTGATGAGGATAAATTTTCATACTGATTCTAAATAAGCAAAAGGCTTGCTAAAGACAGCATGTTCAAGTGGTTAACACATTGGGATAGTATCAGTTAAATGATTTTGGATAGCTTGGGTTGGGTCAAGTCGTAGTTAATTTGAGCAAGAATTTTTATATTCATTGCTTATAGCACTTGTTGGTTCCAGGAATGGTTTTGAGATTTTGTCTATTAGACTCTTACACAAACTAAAAAAAACTTCTGTATATTAAACTTAAAGGCTTGTGATTCACATTAATTTACACATCTTTTAAAAAATATGTTTTATCTTTGTTTTTTCTTTTTTTTCTGAGCATTAAAAACACTATATTTTTGAAAAAAAAATATGAACATTATTATGTTAAGTAACAAATGATTTTAGTTGGTAGAAAATATATTGATGGAAAAATATGATTACATCTTATACAGGAAACGCTCAAAGTCATTTAACAGAACAGGAAAAAGAAAGATGGAACAGACTGGATGATTATATATAATCTCGTAAACAAAAAAAACCAAGTGATTTTCAAGACTAATTTGGCGTCTGGAATTTTAATATCATAGAATAATTGTATTGTTATTCAGTTATGTAACATAAATATATCTTAACTGTTGTATGATAGGAAAGCGCATATTATCCTTTAAGGCACTTTATGCTTCAAAAACAAATAAATTTTTACTTCTTTAGAAAAGGCAAACATGAATTTTATAGCATTTAAATAATGATTATCCTTGTAAGCTGAAGAAAGTAGCAATGAATGTAAAATAACATGTGAAAAAAGTAGCAAAATATACATGTTAAAATCTTTGATGGCAAATTCCCAGTGACTGTGCTTGCTTTATATGTCCCCTTTCCCTTTCTTCTTTCTTTAATTTCCCCTTCAATATCAGCTCCATGCTATCACTAACATAGGAAACCTAACCCCATTTGTCCTCCAAATAACGATTGCCTCTTACCTGCCATGGGATGCCACCAAACATCAGTAGAAGATAGCTGTCTATATAAACACCGGAATAAACCGGATCAACCGATTTCACCCATTTTGCTGTGGCATTTGCTGTTGTAATATCACCAACTGCTGCATGTGTGAATGCAAATGGGATGGACACCCACTGTAATGAATAAATAACAATAATACCAATTACTGCATAAAGTGAAATATATTTTATCTTGCTGAATTTTTTTAATGGACTTGTCCAAATTCAATATTTGGAACTGTTCATTATCATTTTGGGTAAAACACAGTGAAAATTACGTTAGACAGTCACCAGTATTGATCCTGGTCAGACGGCATGTAAGTGCGGGCTGGCCTGGCTCGATACCGGTTTGCAAAGACCCATCACATTTGCTTCTACCAGGGTTGAACAGTTAATTTTCAAACCTGATGTGAAAGCCAAATATAGCTCTATACTTTTTTTCAAATCTGAAGAGCTACCTGAAATATTTAAATAGATTAGAAAAACCATACTGCCTGATTCAAGTCCTATGTAAACATAATTAAATTCATTATTGTTTAATAGAACTCACCTGTTGTCAATTTACACAAATAATTTATCACTTTGTACTTAGAAATATAAATTTTCAACAGTTTTGTTTAAAGTTTTAAATTAATATTTCCAGACCAGGATTTTGAGCACTTACTAAAAAATTCAAGCAAATACTTGAGCATTTTTTTCCAAATGATTATTGATATCAGATTTATAAATTAGATGGTTTCATATTGGTTTTGATATTTGATATTGGACAGTTTTATTGACTATCAATGTGCAGCCTAGATCAAGCCAATACAGATGTCCTTGGCCAAATATAAAAAACATCTCATTTTATAACATTATAACTGATTTTACCTAGTAGTCGGTCTTTAAAGGGCGACCATCGTTTATATTATAAAAAGCGCACCATTATTTTTGCTAATACAGTCGACTCCACTTATAACGAACTCGCTTATAACGAATTATCGTTAATAGCGAACTAAATCTGACATCCCCGGCCGATTCCTTCTTTATCTTATATTAAATCACATTGCTTAATACGTACTTGCTTATAACGAATTTTCGGCTATAACGAACCATTTTTTCAAGCCCCAAATGACGGAATACATTTAAATTTCCTCGGTTATAACAAACTGTTATACTTAGGAAATAGATATCAATTCTGAGTGCATTGTTGTAGAATAATGCACGGTTTGAGTTCAAATGCGTAGTAATATAATCACGAAGGCCGATAGGCCTGAGTGATTAATTACAAAGCATTTGAACGAAAAACGTGCATTATTATACAATAATGCACGAAGAATTAATATCTATTTCCATTCTAACACGTCAAGAAAAAATATAAGTATCATTATAAAGTTGGACTTTATGTTTGGCGGTTAAATTTGTTTTCGCCTCAGAGTTTCCAATAGAAACGTTCTTTAAAGGCCGTTCCAGTGGGTTGAAAAAAACTGTCGTTAAATCTACCGTGTGTAGAAACATTTTGAGAATAACGAATTTTGTAAACGTTGATAAAACTTTGTTTGTTTATTCTATTTCAGTCTATAATTTTCCAAGCGAAATACAAATTATTAAAAGTGAAATAAATGTAAAACTTAACTCGTCTGCGACGTTAAAATAGCGTACTTGATTTTGATTGTTTTGCACGTGCTGTTTGGCGCTACATTGTGACGTCACGTAAACAACACTTTAAACGTCTGTACATCGTTAACGACTGAATTAAAGATATTGGTGTTCGGATTTATTTTCTTAGTTAGACCATTTTCTATCATTCTAGATAGTTTTCACAACAAAATTCGACAAAAAATTGTTTTTATTTATCAGATTTTTCAAACAAAATGGCGCCCTCAATGTGAAAATACACAGGGAGATAATAAGAACGGCGACTGCATTATTGCAGAATAATGCACGCTTCGGGCCTTCTTTGTTTATATAGAAAAATTTCCGATAGTGTTAGAATTGAAATTATATCGGGATGCGCTCGATTAGGATCAGTACATGAATAATGCTATCCGATAATTAAACATTTGAATGATTGCACAAGTTAGTTATGGCTTCAGGGAATAAAGATTTTGATAAGATGTTCTCACAATATAATTTCCTACTTGTTACGGAAAATTTGTATTTCACACCCTCAGTTGATTGCTGTAAATACCCGATAATTGCCAAATAATCGATTTTTTTGTTTGCAATATTAACCAAACGATAACAAACAAAGAAAACAAATGGTAAGAACTTTATAGACAATTAATACATGAATAAATACTTGTACCATGTACATGATATATATTGCTCAATAAACCCCGCATTAAATTTTTTCACGGCAAATTTCCCCATCCAAACAAATCAGCAAGTTGCTGCTACTTCGCTTTTAGCGAACTTCGGATATAACAAACGATATTTTAATGTCCCATTGAGTTCGTTATAACCGGAGTCGACTGTATGTGGTTTTCAAACCATGCAAACCATGAAATGTCTCATCCAGATTCTGTACTTCAAGCATCCAGTACACACCTTTTGTATTTAGATCTATTTTTATTATTTATTCCATAACTTATTTATAACTTACAAGTCCAATGAATATGCAGATAAGTTGTACAACATCTGTGTAAGCTACTGAGTAGAGTCCACCAAACAATGTGTAGAACACGGCAATACAAGCTGACACGATTATTGAAATCTTTGGGTCCAACTCAAGTATTACAGACAATGTAGCACCTGCAAGAGAAAGTGATGTATATCAATCAAGGGCAAGGTAAATTTCTGAATCAAGTTGATCTTCCTTTTTTTTAATGACACTATATATTCATATTGTGACCATCTGTAGTGTGTAGAATTTTAAACGTAACATAAATGTTTTTTGTGTGAAGTCAAAACATGTTTATTTTATATTTAGAAAGAGAATGTGTAGCAATATTAATATTAATATTTTGTAATATCAAATTTGAGCATAGTATATCATAGTATGTCAATGATTCATGGTGTTGGCATATCCACCCAGTTAACAGTTTAAGTCCTATTCAATGGGATACCAAAATTCATATATTGATCTCTTTTAGGTGTCTTTTGGTCTGTTAATGGCAGCCTTCATTTAGGCCATAGAGACTAATACAACCTCGTACACCTTGATAGGACTTAAACCTGAGACCTGTCTTTCCTGAGGTCCATCAAGATAAGTTATCACTTTAAGGACCAGTTTGAGTTAACCAGTTATTACACTAAGGTGATTAAATAACATTGTAAAATAAGTTCTGTTAATTTGTCATCATAATCACCACCATCATCATCACTTTGTCATGAACACTGCCAATAGCACCATCATTATCATCATCAACATTATCATCATCATCATCACCACCAGCTCAACTTTCACAACTTCATCCACTTTTATCATCATAACCTCAACTACCACAACTTCATCCATTATCATCATCACCACTATCATCATCATCATCATCATCATCATCAATATCATCAACACCATCATCATCATAATCATCAACATCAAGATCATAAGTACACAAATAAATTAAACATGTGCATGTATTCAGAAAAAAACAACTCTAAGCCTACCAAGAGCAGCCAAGATAGCAGCTGACCAGAATACCTCTCCTAGTAATGCTGGAATGTACAACAGACCACCCATCCTCTCTCCGTATTTCTGTGAGAAAGGGTCCAGCATCGTAACGTAACCTTGAGATCGCATCTTACTTGCAAAGAAATAACCTCCTGTATGACAAAAATGAAACAAATACATGTAGTATATATGAAATGTAAATATTCAAAATAATGCTGTTTTATGTCTGACAACCTGTCTTCAGAATCTCTTTTAATATTTAGATTTGCATGTAGAAGTGTATGTACATTACACAATAAATAGTCCCGAGTTAAAATAGCAGTTTTATCTTAAATAACAAGAAGAAAACAAAAGAACTAGTGTTAAGGAATTTTCAAGAAAGGTTTTTGTTTGGTCAGTTATATTTAAAACTTGGCTTAAACTGAGTTTTGAACTAAATTGTAAAGATCCCAAGTTGCCAAATCTTACTTCTTCTTTATTTAAATTTCCGTTTACTTGATCTTTTATATTCAGTTATTGTAGTTCTTAAAATTTAGTACTTCTTATTGAACTAGTAAAACTTAAAATACTAATTTGACAATTGTTTTTTATTTACTAGAAAACACCCGTAATTTAAATTCCAGCCGGGTACATCATTTTCTCGATCATAATTAAATTAAAAAGATATTACCTATAATTAATGAAAAAGCATATCCAAATGGAGCCTGGCACCAAACAAAACCATCCCTAACGATATATTCCGCTGTTCCATTGATAAATCCTCCTCCCACCCATGTTGCTGAAATTAAACAAAGATTAAATTATATTCATAACATTGATAAATATCTTAAATGAACTTGACCATCTTTCAATCTAGACAAGTCCATTTATAATTTTTAGGGAAAATTTCAAAATAAGTACATGTATTGACTGCATAATGAACAGTGCAGACCATGAGTAGATGACATGGAATTATGCCCGGCCGATCATGGTCTGCACTGTTTGCATGGGTAGAATCCATTGCCAACAGAAGACTAAGGGTTAAATAATGCTATTAAAGATGATGTATTTAGTAAGTAAGGCCTCAGGAAATAAATTCTTATACTCCAGAAGAAAACAAATGTTAATCTTTTTTACAATATTTTAGTTGTACACAATTTAATTTGACTAGAACTTGATTTCAAATGCTAATAGATCTACTTATAATAATAGAGTTCTACTATTTTGGTGCTTAGACAAAACCCTGCATTAACCAAGCAGAGCATATAAAGATGGAAGGTTACTCTACTGTCAGCAGCACTCAGTGCCATGTGGGTGGGTGGCCATGTGGGTGGGTTTGGGGGGAAGGTAATTAATTTTAAGCATTTATTTTGTCAATTTTTCTGGCAATGGAGACTGTAAGTGAATGTTAGCATCTAAAGATAGAGTAAACAATTAAACAAGCCTCACAAATCCACTGAATTCACCAGAACTAAATTCAATTTGAACAAAAAAAAAAGATTGAAAAAGAAAGAGAATACATTATTAATTAAATGAACTATACTTTACCATGAAATTAATCAGGCATACATTTTAGAATTGAGTCAATTTAAAGTACTACAAATTAAAACTGAAGCACTTGATGGAATAGCTTTCCATGCCCTCTGATTAAGAAATTTCATTGAAGAAATCTTTGATCAACCAGGAAGCTGAAATCAGGCTCCAGATCTAATTTACTTGAAAATTTGCCTGGCAAATAAATGCTATGAATCATTGACCAAAGTTTGTTTTTTTTGGCTTGCCATAGAATAATGTAAGTACAGTGTAACCTCTACAGAGTGACCCCCTCTGTACAGCAATTATCTCTTTACAAAAAGAGTAAAAATTCTATCCAAAGTAGGACTTTTTGCACAATAGATTTAACTTCTCTAAAGCAACACCTCCCAGCAAAAGTAAAACTCTTTTGTCTCCCAAAAGGGTGTTGCTGCGCCGAGACGAGGTTGGACTGTAGTATATTTTAATGCTCAACTTCTTAATATTCCAGATGATTGATTTTAAAGCTGCACACCTCCAGATGAGCGAAAAATATTTCAATAAAATCAAACCTGAGAGAAATGTACTAAGATTTAGGAAAGGTATAAAGATTCAAAGTTCTAGTAATAATTTACATGTTATGTGTGATTAATGACCAAATTTTTCAAAAAACAGGGCAAAAAACATTTAACCCATTACTTCATGAGCATTTTGTGAAAAATGGCTGTTTTCATTGAAAAGTCTCCCGTTACAAGTTCAAATTGCTATAATTCTATAAAAACTGCTTCAACACTAATCAAACTTGGCACAAATGTTGACTGGACCATTGCCCTTGCAACAACATGCTCAGGCTTAAATTTTCTGTTACCATGGCAACGAGGGGACATCTCAAAATTGCCAAAAATCACTATTTTGCGTTGATTTTTTCCATTATAATTGATTTCAAAGTGCTGCAACTTCTCAATGGATTGAGATAGAGTCAAATGCTTTTCAGCGTTGGTTACACGTTACCTTATGATCAATCTGGGTCATTTTATAGCCTCTCACAAGTCCAAAATTTTCTTGGTGATGAGGGGGACTCCGCCCCCCTTCAAACCCCCCAAACAGAAGGGGGCACATCCCCCTTCTGGCAACCCCCTGATGTATCTTTTGGTTGGGGGGCCGCGCCGAAAAAGTGGTCACTTTTTTTAACAACATTTCTCAAACAAAAACAAGTGTAAAGGGTCTAAATAATGCATTTTTTCACCATTTGAGACAACAAAAAGGGGGGGGGGGGGTGAAAAAGGCGTTAAAAGGCGTGTATATGAAGTAATTGGTTAAGTGAAAAAGGGGAATGACTTTGCTAAACCAATTTTAGGATGAAGTGAATAACTTTCATGGCGATGTGAACCAAAAGGTTAACCAGTGCAAAAGAGGTTCATTACAATCTTAAGCTCCACTTGATTTCTTCTTCAAAAAGCCGAGCTAAAGAGTCAAAAAAACATATACCACTTTATACAAATTTACAGACACAAGCTTGGCCATGAAAACATTCACATAAATACCAAATTGACATCTACTTCAAAGCCGAGAACAATCAACCTCAGCAAAAGTTTTTGCATCCAGAAATCAAATTAACCTCTGCACACACAGATGTTATCTATATTATTGCCCAAGAAAAATAGTGCCAATTAATGAAGAAATCATTCTCTATAAACAACATATCTCCATGTAAAATTGTAATGTGATTGAGGTCTCTGTGAATCAGTTTGTGATTTCTGCATGTACTAATGTTAAATCATTACAGAGACATTAAGATAAAACAATAAAATTCACTTTGTATCTTATAACATTTAAAGTGCTGAATTCATGCAATGGTTTTGCCCAGCTTTGAATTTAGAACACTCCATTCTAATTTCAAAGGATTTCATTACTGCAATAAAAAAAATGAGCTTCAAAACCAGCAGTATAGTCAGCCTGACCTGAGACTGCACAGATATGCAGGCTCGCCAGTGGCTCTATACTGGTAGCAAAGGCTAATCACTTCAAGTTCAAGCAGGAAAATAGCAAAATACTTTGATTTTACCTCCCTTACAGGTGCAACAAAGATACCTTCTTTAAGCCTTACATCACTATATTAGTTTTGTATAATGGACGGTCCCTGCATTGAATACATTTTATCACATACCCATGCTGCTTTTGCGACTCCTTTAAAATGGTATTGCACAGCCAGGATATTTTGACATGACGTCATTTGGCGCATTATACAAACAAATGTTATCGTTATCCTATAGTAAGCACATAAAAAAAAAAGGTTCTTTTTCACTTTAAACGGTCTTTATTTCTGGTAAGTTTGTTTGTTTGTTTGTTTCATTTTACGCCTTTTCCCAACAGTATTTCAGTCATATAGACGGGTAGTTTCCTAACCATCATTCCTGGAGAGTTATACCAGTACTAGACTACCTTCCTCTGCGCTTAACTACCAAAGCATCTCACGGGGATCGAACCCATGCCAGAGAGGTAACTGGATTACAAGTCATCGACTCTAACCCCTAGACCAAAGACGCAGTTTCTGGTATGTGATAAATAGAATATTAAATTTGTATAAGTTCATTACTGAATTTATTGACCTCGTTGAATAAACTAATGTTATGCTTCCTAGAGGCTCGCATAATTGAATTGAATTTTATTCAACTTATTCAATAAATTCAGTATTAAACTTACACACTCAATATCCTCTATTTATTAAAGCTTCCAAATTTGGACATTACTAATATAGTGTTATGAAAACTGACGTTCCCAGCTGATATATACATCATTGTGAAACAAAAACCCCACTTGTAACAGAACACAATCCACAACAAATACAATAAACAAGAAAATCTTTGATATTGAACTTTAAACGGCATTAACGAATGATTTATTATCAATTATCAGCAAATATGGTGCTAGATCAGGAGACAAACTTTGCTTTTCTAGAATCAATGACAACAGAATGGGACGCAAGAACAGGATTTTATATCTTACATCACACAACATAGCATGAGAGTAATAATATCACGTCTCACCTTAGTGCAGTAACGTGTTAACTCCTATTAAATTATATACAGAGTTAACCCGTTACAGTGCTAACATGACAATTTAATGTATTGCATGTTTCCCATGTGATACTGAATTGAAATCTTTTAAAACAGCCATGAATTTGAGCAATTTTAAAACTTTAAAATCTGACTGAAATGAGTTTGAATGAGTTTAGTTGAATTTTACAGCAAATTACATAAAAAGAAATAACAAAATTAATGAAACAAAAATTAATTTAAACTAGAAATGTGTCCATAGGACACGGATGCCCCCACATGCCACTGTTCTGTCAATCTTATGACTCTAGGTCAAATATTTTTTTGGACTACATGTGCCACAAGTTGAAAACTAAAAATCAACGAAGGGCCATAATTCTGTTAAATTTGGTTGCAGCAAAAATTCCTTCCTTTACGACCATCTACACATTAAGGTTGTTCATCCCTGGAAGTTTAAGCAAAATCTGCCATCCGGTTTAAGAGGAGTTGCGTTCACAAAATTTCTACATAGTATATAGTGAAAAAATTAACAAAGGGCCATAATTCTGTTAAATTTGGTCGCAGCAAAAATTCCTTCCATACTACCATCTACACATTAAGGTTGTTCATCCCTGGAAGTTTAAGCAAAATCTGCCATCCGGTTTAAGAGGATTTGCGTTCACAAAATTTCTACATAGTATAGAGTGAAAAAATCAACAAAGGGCCATAATTCTGTCAAATTTGGTCGCAGCAAAAAATTCCTCCCTTTACTACCATCTACACATTAAGGTTGTTCATCCCTGGAAGTTTAAGCAAAATCTGCCATCCGGTTTAAGAAGAATTGCGTTCACAAAATTTTTACATAGTATATAGTGAAAAAATTAACAAAGGGCCATAATTCTGTTAAATTTGGTCGCAGCAAAAATTCCTTCCTTTACTACCATCTACACATTAAGGTTGTTCATCCCTGTAAGTTTAAGCAAAATCTGCCATCCGGTTTAAGAGGAGTTGCGTTCACAAGATTTTGGGACGTACGGAGAGACGGACGGACGTTCTCACAGGACAGGAATATTATGTGGCTACTCTATTGTTCTCTCTATTGTTCTTTTTAGCCACGCAAAAGAAAATAGCCACATAAAAGCATTACGGAATGAATGACATCAAAGAGAAAGAACAGTTACCTATTGTCCCTCTAGCCACATAATTACTCTCTTGTGAGTGCGAACAGACGTACGGACGGACACTCGGACGG